CCTCTTCCTCCCACGTATAGATGTTTGATAAAGTTTTATCCATGAACAAGGGGTGTGGTCTCTTTTTCTGACTATAAACACTGAATTAAACATGGTACATATACATCAATTAAAAAAGTGTTTAAGGGATAGAAGATTAGATTTACCTCGATATTTCATGATATTAAGAAAAGAAGACATCACAGTGGAGATTGGTTTCAGCTCTACATTAGATTTGCCTCTCCTCTCTCCATTCACTATTGACCGCAACGCGTCGTTTAATATCCTCCTCCCCATCTCTTTCTCTTTCTCTTTCTCTCTGCACTACAAAACCCCAAAGGCTGGCTTGCTCAACAAAAGGGTTTTTTGTCATAGAAGTGGCATTTTAGATACTTAAGGTAACCACTAGGAGCATTTTCATGCCCAACAGCTTGTCGGGCTTTTGTTATAGCTAGTTGGGCCTTCACTTCTGCGCCTCGTAGGCCATATAACATTATTGATGTTTGTAATATGAAACTGGCTCCTTTTATGCCTCTCTATGTATATGTTGTTAAGGCCTGAGGGGTGTTAGACACTCGCTTAGGTGATGGGTGGTTTTTTTTTTTTTTTTTTTTTTTGTTGTTGTGTCGGTGGTTTGTTTTTTTTTTTTTTTTTTTTTCGTTTATTTTGTTTCGGGTCGTTCTTTCCGTCACACTTTGTTCGCACCAGTTTTTTTTTTTTTTGTTTTTTTTTCCTTTTGTTTTTTTGGGCTGTTTTTTTCCTTTTTGTCTTTTGTGGCTTATGATCTTCTATTATTTATAGAAATAATATAAATACAAACAAATCCTACAATATTTACTCTTTCATTTATTTTGTGTCACAATAATTTGTATACAAATCTTTGTAAAATATTTGAACATTTAGCATTATTGTATTTATAGTATGATAAAAAAATGAACAAAAAAAATAAATATGATGTGTTAACCTTTATATTCACTCTTCATCTTTGTAAGATTTCTGTTGTAGGTCTAAGAGCATCTCCAATGACGCTCTTATTTTAAAGAGTAAATTTCATATAAATAAAGAGCATTTTATTTATATAAAATGTAAAGAACAAATTTTTTATTCAAATCCAATGGACTCTTTAAATGACATTAATAAATAGGAGAGAAACTTAATAGGAAAGATAATTAATAATAAAATGCATGAAAACTTGTAATTTATTAAATAAAATTGAGATAAAGAGTGAAATTGACTCTTTAGATGTAGAGAGTCAAACTCACTCTTAATTTATATTAAAGAAATAAGAGTATGTTGGTCTCTTGTTTTTATGGATAAACTCTTTAAGTTAATAAATAGTCATTTGAGATGCTCTAACATTGTTGATTTATTTAGGATTAATAACATTGACACCCCTTAAGATTTTAATGCTTTCCAAGTGCATAGAAAATGTCATTAGGTTAACAGGAAACCTACTCAGTAGTGTCCGTTAAGCCACATTTAACAGACAAAGGTCATTTAGGTATTTTAATTAAAGATATTGAGACCATAAATTAGAAGTTGAGAAATTATAAAATTTTGAGTATGTTCCATACACGTCTAAGAAATATGTTAAATAAGTTATTTTTGAAATGATTTGTTATTGTTATAGTTGATTAACTATATTTCAATGGTTATGTTGAAAATGGGTGGTTTAGGCGTACTTGGGTAGGGTTTCAGCTAACTTGGAAGGGTTAAACAAAAAAATTAGCTGGAGGTTGAAGGAGTTTTGGCCGAAACCCATATATTGCTAATTCGACTTGATTCGGCCATTTGGACAGAACTTGTCTTGACCGAATGGCCAAATACCGGGTGTCGGCCAAAACCCGAGTTTCTCATGTATGGTATACTAGCCGACATCATCCGAATTCTTAGGTATTGACCAGATTCAACTTTTGGACAAAACCATTCCTGACTGAATTCAGCCAAATCGAGCGAATACCTTGGTGTCGCCAAGCTCCAAGTCCTACATAATTGTATACGGCCGAATCAATCCGAATTGGGGATTCAGACGACTTCGATAATATGACATTGTCTAAATTTGGGGAAATCTAATCTATGTTTATTTTGTTATATTTCAGGAAATGAAAGCCTACTCGAATTCTTGTAAAGTATGGAAGACGGTCAGAGTCTTAAAATGGTGGTTCATACAAAGTAGCAACCATCCAAACAAAAGCACCTCCTAATACCTTCACATTTGAAGCATGAAGGCTTATTGAAGGTTGAGATCCTAATAGTGCTCTTTATTTGAAGAGCATCTTCATAAAATAAAGAGTATCTTCATTAATTTTTACTATAAAGAAACACAATTTTTATTCAAATCAATAGACTCTTTAAATTAATGAAGATACTCTTTATTTTAAAAAGAGACTTGGAAAGAGAATTAATAAAATAAAATGTATGGAACCGTAGTTTATAATTAAAATTAGGATAGAGAGTGAAATTTGACTCTCTAATGTGGAGAGCCAAACCACTCTAATTTTTTATTAAAATAAAAGATGTTGGACTGTGTTTTTATAGATAGACTCTTTATAATAAGAATTTGGGTCCTATAAAGAGTTCTTTGGAGATGCTCTTACATGAAGAATGCTTATTGAAAACAGTTGATATACGTTGAAGTGATTGTGAAGTACGTACTACGGATATGATGAGCCCGTTGAAATCAACGAGAGGTTGCATTTTTTATGACACGTGATTGGAAGAGCCTACCTAATACCTTCCGTGTATATTACTAGCAACACATTTATAATATGAAGGTAATTCAATAATGAATGAAGGGTTGGTAATGAAGTATTGACCTGTTTGGGTGACATCGTTAAATTACCTATGATCGTTAAGCGATTGTGTATTTGAGAAGGATTATTTTAAGACAAAGGCACAATTACCTTGATCATTTAAGCGATATCAGCTCTCGCTTAAGCAATCCTACACAATAAGTCATGATCGCTTAAGCAATGCTTACATCGCTAAGCACTAAGGCCAATTTTCTTTGTACTTGACTATTCTTTTCAAATTCAAGATCGCTTAAGCGATGTCAATTCTCGCTTAAACAATCCTGTACAGATAAGCCGTGATCGCTAAGTGACAAGGCTAATTTTATTTGTACTGACATTTCTTTCTCAAATTCAAGAAAATTAGCTTAGCGATATCATCGCTTGCTTAAGGATCTATATTGATAACATTCAATATGAATGAAGTTACATGCACAACAACATTCTCATATTGAATTAATTAGTAGCACAATAACAACTAAATATTGAATGAATTTAGTAGCACAATAAGAACAACAATTAAGTAACTAGAAGCATCCTTACTATCATCTATTAAAACTTCAAACAAAAAATATCCAATTGTCAACATAAAAAATGAAAACAACAAAGCATTCATAACAAGTCATGAGACAGAAAAGGTAATTCCATAAAGTAATCATCAAAACCATTAAAATTGTTTTATGATTCACTAATAAGTCTTCAACGGTTGGCCTTAAAACTCTCTCGATTTCATCATTCTTCTGATGGCATAGCTAGAAATATAAGGAATAAAAATCAGTTTAATGCACCACAAAAGATTGACATACAACCAAGAGAAACTAGTGAATAAGTAAACGGAATAGCATCTAGCCACTCACCAAAATAGTCAACACCCAAAACAACTTGTCCCAGTCTAATAATAGCCAAGTGCCTATAATTCAAGAAAAAAAAATTATTAACCGATATATGAGGGTGACAAATTTAAAAAACATCTGCAAAGTCGCTTAAGCGATCTGTGTGTATCGCTTAAGCGATTGGTATAAATAAACTTGATCGCTTAAGCGATCTGCTGCCATATACCAGACTTATACCAGATCGCTTAAGCGATCCACTAGCTCCAAAATACATTTTCAGTCATCTTCACCTATAATCGGTGCTACCACCCCCAGCTATCCACAAGCAAGAAAATCATCAACAAATCTCATCCTTTCCACTTGCATTACATTAACACACCAAAGAACCTAAACCATTAAATTGAATCATAACCCAAACACAATCCATCATTAAATCGTGTAAATAGAAATATAAAATGCATAGAAGAGATACACATACCGGAGAAATATGTAGGAGGAGAAAGAGGCGGATCTTTGGCGAAGAAGATGTTAATGGCGGAGGAAGAAGAAAGTATAATGGCGGAAGAAGAAGAAAGTATAATGGTGGAGGAAGAAGAAGATGTAGACGAAGAAGAAAATGCAGAAGAGAAGATGTAGACGAAGCTTAGAAGAAACAAAAACCAGGGGAGGGATGCATTAATGGCAAGAGGAAGAAGAATAAGGTGTTTGGGTTTGTTGCAAGATTTTGACTCTTTGGCAATATATAATTTTAAAAGATTACACAATACTTAACCTTAATCATAATAAGACTATTTACTTAACATTTTCAAACTACATAGCCTTTAGTTAGATTTGAACTTAATTTGGCATTTAATAAAATGCCCCCGATTTTGGTTTGAACGGTAGATGGTGATTTTAAGGGAAGCGCAGTTAGTGTAGGCCGTAGAATAGATGGTTGAGAGGTTAATTAAAAATTAGTATTTCCTTAATTTTCATTAGTGACTGAAATGGAAATTACCAAAGGTTTTGATTAATACTGGTTAATTTTCATTAGTGACTTGACTAATGGATTTTAACTACCCATATATACAGGATGGAAATTGGCCGGTGCATCTCGTTGCAACGAGATTTTTGAGATTTTATTATATTGCGCGAGAACTTGGCTAGAGTGTGTTTTGCACACTTTAACATGCCAGAAAGATGCAAACAGCACGAATCAATCATTAGTGTTAAATGTATGGAAAACATTGCATCGACGACCAGACCTGTTCAATTATGCTCTATCATTTATCGAATTCGACAATTGTACAAACCAGATAGATTTGAACTGCAAGTTTAACATATTTCTTGCTGGTGAAGGTAGGCCGCCCGCTACTTCAAACTATTCCCCACCAAATGTTTTCAGATAGACAAGAAGGTTCTATAATGAAAAATAACCAAGAACCGACCAACTACATTTCGTCTTTGAGCCTTCATGATCCAAAACACCATCCGGAGTTGTTATCACAACATAACCCCACTGCATTGCAAGAAATCAGAAAAAGAAAAGAAAAAGCGCACAAGATAAGTCCAGGATATAATCTTTTTTTTTTTTGGAACATGTTGGATCACAGACACACCCAGTAACACAGCATTTCTTACCAGTAAACCATTCCCACTAAACAGGCACTTAAAAGAACTTAAAAGGAGACATCTGAACAAACCTGACGAGTTGGAAGTGTACGTGTTGTGTACTCTTCAATATTTTCGCCTTGATATCCTGCCTGTAAGGTGAGCGCCGGCAATCTTAACCCTGCCTAGTAGTTGAACTGTTATCCTCCCCACCCTATGTGGATCATAAACTTGAAAATCCTTGATATATCCTAAAAGGAGAAAAAAGGTCAAGTAACAAACATAAGTCACAAACAAAATTGACCAATAGATACTACTTCAAAGCATGTAGGCCACAAACAAAATAGGATGAAAAAATGTAATGCACTACAACAAACGTACTAGTTATAGTAGCAACACAAGCCCCTTTTATGAAATAAACACCCATAGGAGAAAATAATGAAAACAGAAGTACGTGCATAAACAAATGAAAGATAGGAAGGATTACCTCTTCAATTTGTTCTTTCAACATTTGGTCAAAAATTGGAATGATCCAATCCTCAAATTTGCAGTAGTTCTCATTGGGAACCAACAGATTACCAATGCGATTCAATCCTTTTGACCTCAACTGAGCTCCAGGTAGAGAAAAGTCACCTTTGTAAGTGGGTGCAAGGCATTTTATTAGATCTTCTTCGATACCACCCGCAGTTGTGACCACTACATGTACCTGCGATCAAATTAGAAGTCACCCTTCTAAGAATATAATCAAAATCCAAACCAAGAAAACAGGATCATTAAAAAAATGAAACAAAGTGTCGATTTGCAAACATCAATAACCATAAAAGATAATCTTGACAGCATGGTAATAAAAGAACCAAATCACACATAAGCTCAAAACCATTAGCATGATCACAACAATGTGAAAACAATAATCAAGCCTTGCTTCCTTATGTAATTTCAGCACACACAATTCAGCATAAGAAGAATAACTAGCCGCAGTGTGACTCACCATATGGTGCTGAACAAGATACCGAACCGTATCTCTAACCCCAGAAGAAATAAGATTTGAAGTAAAACCCAGAAACACTTTGCATCTAACTGACTCTCTATAAGCCGGGTCCTTCTCCTCGTCGTCAGAGTCTTCAGCTATAGCCTCATTAGAAAGCCTCCAGTCTAGCTTCAACCCAATAAAAATATATAATGTTATTTTGAAGCAGGGAAAAAGAAAAAGAAGAAAAAGGGTTTGTTGGAGGAGAAACTTACCATTTGATTAACAACTTCAATGGCGTCACCGAGATTAGAAGCTTGAAAGCCAGTAGAGAGCATAGATTTAAGAAGGAGAGAGTAATTAACACCTTGATTAAAATCATAACCCTGAATTTTAGTGCATCTGCCTTCCAGGGATTCAGACTCTTTGAAAACCGTCGAGTGAACTGACGAAAAGAGATGCTCCTCCATCGCTTTCTTTTTCCAATTAATTTACGAGAAACCAATGCCAGTCTCAAAAGGGTTTTTGGCTTTATGGAGAAAATTTAGCGAGAAAATTTAAGGCCATCCCAAGTTTGGATTTAAAAAAATGACCTTTGAAACTGTTTACCATCTTTTTTTTATTTAGAGAAGCTGACGTGGCACCGTTAGAATCCATTAAATATGTAAAATAGGTTAAAATGAAAAGATTAAAACATATAAGGACAAAATATAATTAATGAAAGTTTTTAAAATTTAAAATTTACAAAAGAGCCCCAAATATTCAAATCGCTTAATTGAAACCAATTAAGGCAAAAATCGATATCTTCAATCCCTAAACTCATCTTAGCAATTTCCGACGATAACATTCCACATTCTAGCGATAACAGTCCACATTCCGATGAATTTTCACACCCAAATTCAATCCTAAAGCTTCTTCCTTTCTTAAAACTATGGCTGACTTGAACAATGAGGAGGAAAACTCAACGCCTCTTCGAATCGTAGACTCTGGCCGCGCAAGCAGTTCAATGGCTGCTTCGGTGGATCCTCCGATCAGTGAAGGTGTTCCAGCAGCGGAGACGACGGCGGCACAACAAGAGAGAGAAGATGAGCAAAACGGTTCTGAAGGGGAAGAGGAAGCCGGGCAGAATTCAGGCCAGGAAGAGGAGTTCGGCGAGAGTTCAGAGGAGGAGGAGGAGGCCGCCAAAGAGGAGGAGGCCGCCGAAGAAAAGGTATTTGTACTTGCCGAGACCTAAGATCGCTTAAGCGATCCTTTGTATCGCTTAAGCGATTGATGGCTTTTACTATTAGTAGATTAAGCTATTTTGGATTGATTAAGAGTAAAAAAGATGAATCGCTTAAGCAATATAAAAGATCGCTTAAGCGATCTTAGATCTGGCAGATGTTGATTCTGTCTCGTACAAGATCTCTTAAGCGATCTGTAATCGCTTAAGCGATCTCTTCT